ATGTCTACTATTCATTTAGAATCACATCATAGACAGGAAATGTCAATGATTCATTTAGAATCACAAGCATGACTGGAGGTGACAACTATACACTTAGAATCACAGCATGAAGTAGGAGATGTCAACTATTCATTTAGAATCACATCATAGACAGGAGATGTCAATGATTCATTTAGAATCACAAGCATGACTGGAGGTGATAACTATACACTTAGAATCACAGCATGAAGTAGGAGATGTCAACTATTCATTTAGAATCACAGTATGGAGCAGGAGATGTCAATTATTCACTTAAAATCACAGCGTCAAGTAAGAGGTGACAACTGTACACTTAGAATCACAGCATGGAGCAGGAGATGTCAACTGTACGCTTAGAATCACAGCATGAAGTAGGAGATGTCAACTGTAAGCTTAGAATCACAGCATGGAGCAGGAGATGTTAACTATTCACTTAGAATCACAGCATGGAGCAAGAGATGTCTACTATAAACTTAGAATCACAGCATGACTGGAGGTGACAACTGTACGCTTAGAATCACAGCATGGGGCAGGAGATGTCAACTATTCATTTAAAATCACAGCATGGAGCAGGAGATGTCAATTATTCATTTAAAATCACAGCATGACTGGAGGTGATAACTATACGCTTAGAATCACAGCATGAAGTAGGAGATGACAACTATACACTTAAAATCACAGCATGAAGTAGGAGATGTCTACTATTCATTTAGAATCACATCAAAGACAGGAGATGTCAATTATTCATTTAGAATCACAAGCATGACTGGAGGTGATAACTATACACTTAGAATCACAGCATGAATCAGGAGATGTCAACTGTACACTTAGAATCACAGCATGAAGTAGGAGATGTCAGCTGTACGCTTAGAATCACAGCATGAAGTAGGAGATGACAACTATACACTTAAAATCACAGCATGAAGTAGGAGATGTCTACTATTCATTTAGAATCACATCATAGACAGGAGATGTCAATAATTCATTTAGAATCACAAGCATGACTGGAGGTGACAACTATACACTTAGAATCACAGCATGAAGTAGGAGATGTCAACTATTCATTTAGAATCACATCATAGACAGGAGATGTCAATGATTCATTTAGAATCACAAGCATGACTGGAGGTGACAACTATACACTTAGAATCACAGTATGAAGTAGGAGATGTCAACTATACGCTTAGAATCACAACATTGAGCTGGAGATGTCAATTATTCACTTAAAATCACAGCGTGAAGTAAGAGGTGACAACTGTACGCTTAGAATCACAGCATGGAGTAGGAGATGTCAATTATTCACTTAGAATCACAGCATGGAGTAGATGTCAACTGTTCCCTTAGAATCACAGCATTGAGCTGGAGGTGACAACTATACACTTAGAATCACAGCATGGAGTTGGAGATGTCAACTATACACTTAGAATCACAGCATTGAGCTGGAGGTGACAACTATACACTTAGAATCACAGCATTGAGCTGGAGGTGATAACTATACGCTTAGAATCACAGCAGGTAGCAGGATGTGACAGCTATACACTAAGAATCACAGCATGGAGTAGGAGATGTCAACTATACGCTTAGAATCACAGCATGAAGCAGGAGATGTCAACAATACACTTATCACAGCATGGAGTAGGAGATTTCAATTATCCACTTAGAATTACACCACAGAGCAATACATGACAAGTGTGTACATTAAAATTCGTAGTTTTAAGGAGCTGTAACTCAAGGACACGCCGAGGACATATCAGATCATCTACATTCAACTGCTACAGGGTTTGTTTGTAAAAGACAGGTTTAGGCGCGGATACTTTGAGCATCTGTTGAAAATAACAGAAGTATTACTGTACTAAAAAAAGCATGGATGTTATCCTTGACAGATTTCTAGCTTAACATGTAATTATCAATATTATTGGAATTCACTCCATACTCTATCTGCTTTCGAAAAACATTCTCTGAAATATTTGTCTTCTTCAAATTTACTTGGGCCCTTTAACAAAATAATTTCCGAGACATTGATATTCCATGTTTTCAAAATGTTTTGTCTTTGTCAGTGGTTTACCATGATGTAAATTTGTAGGAACACCTATACTCATAAAACAGTTCTCATATTTTGCTGAAAACTATTTTTTCAAATTGTAAATCCCCATTGCAAAATTAAAATCAACGATAGTAAAGAAATAATTTGATGATTATAATGCTACATTGTGAGAAAAGGCCTAAGCGGAACTGTAAATAGATGGTATATATTACCACATCATCGACAGTCTCAGCTCTCATATGATCACAGCTATCGCAAGAACGTAAAGCCCGTAAAAACAAAGCAAAACCGACATACCGTATGAGTTATCTGAAACCCCCCTTTTATAAAGAACGTGAATGATGTAAGAACCCTATGACAGACATATTAAATGACAAATGTCAGAATGCATATGATACAGTTCATGTAAAATTTACCCTTATTAACTAACATTAATACATTCAAGTTTCGCTTTTAAAATATTTCACATCGGCTGTTGACATTAAGTGTATATCTATTTCATCTCTATATATGACATCTATGAACAATAAAAGGCCGATACTAGTAATATTCGTTTATAATAGTATTACTGGTGCCTGAAAAACGACAATAATAAATTTCAGGTCTGGCATTATTTGCCTTGTCTCAGTTTTTGATGATGTTATGATCAACCTACTTACAAAGCTAGAGCTGTTTAACAGCATCGCCAAAACGACGGGAAACTTACTGCCGACATAATTATGTATGGGGTTTTTATGGTATTGTGTAAATATTAACAATAGTGATTTTACTTTTACCATTTTTTATTATAGAGGAAATGTGACCAATGAGTTGGTGTGCTGTCTGTAGTAATTTGATAGAGACAAAGGGTAGAGGAAATGTGACCAATGAGTTGGTGTGCTGTCTGTAGTAGTTTGATAGAGACAAAGGGTAGAGGAAATGTGACCAATGAGTTGGTGTGCTGTCTGTAGTAGTTTGATAGAGACAAAGGGTAGAGGAAATGTGACTTGTGAGATGGTGTGATGTCTGATGTAGTTTGATAGAGACAAAGGGTAGAAGAAATGTGACCTGTGAGATGGTGTGCTGTCTGTTGTAGTTTGATAGAGACAAAGGGAAGAAGAAATGTGACCTGTGAGATGGTGTAGTGTCTGTTGTAGTTTGATAGAGACAAAGGGTAAAGGAAATGTCACCAGTGAGATGGTGTAGTGTCTGTTGTAGTTTGACAGAGACGAAGGGGAGAGGTAATGTTACCAGTTATATAGTGTGCCGTCTATTGTAGTTTGATAGAGACAAAGGGGAGAGGATATTTTTTTCTGCACCTTTATACTATTAAGATTTTTAATTTAAATCCGATATGGGTCGTTTTATGTTGTGGGAGTGTACTTTGCTATTTACTCCCAACGATTACCTTTCTGTCTTTCGATTGATGTTATGAAATGCATCGCAGTTCATCATGAGAGAACTGATTGAAATCACAAGTCACATATCCTTCAAAACTGTCATGCAGATATGTGGAAAATGTTTGACGAAATACCTGCGAACTCTTCTCTCACATTTTCATTACAACATCCAGGATTTCATAAAATTTGTTTTAACACAAATGGATACAATTTGCCTTTTGCTAAGGGCATTTTCCTCACAAATGTTGAAAAAAATGGCAAAAAAAACCAGGAAACTGTTGCTATAGTGACAATGATACCTAGGGACTATCACGGTCGTCTTGGTCAATAGAGTGTGATTGTGTATTACATTAGAACTATTGCGATTTTTGTTTAAACTAGAAATCAATGTGTAATAAACTGCGTATGTATCGTCACAAATTAATTGCTTCATATTGATGATGGATTAAACTAACATTTGTCAAAGGGCTGCCTTTTCAATAAAATAATACGAGTAATAGATAAACTATTTAATCAAATACTGATCTTTCTAGTTATTTTAGACGCCTTCAGAGTTGAAATCTACCAGGCGTTTAGAGAATGAGATAGTTAGGGAAGAGCACTTACCCCATGATTCAATAAAAAATAAGAAAATAACAACATGGCCACAAATCATAATCCAAAGTCAAATTCTGTAAAACAGGGGCAAAACATGTACAAAACAAAGATTTACACGGAGACTCCCGAAAAAATTACGAGGAGAATAAGACCAGGTGTCCCGGAAGATTAAGCGTCCTCTGTTTCATCAGCGACATCCGCCATATAAACATTGGTCAATCCAAGTAAGTAATGTTACGTTCTCAAATGAGAACAAGATATACAATCAGTTTCGTATTTGTAATATTGCATGGCATTTAAAATGTCAACTACCTGTATCGAGTCAAAAAAATATATATATGAATTGAAACGTAACATGTAGGGGTACGGCAAACATCTGGAAATAATAACTACCAAAAGAGATTATCAAAGCACGACCTTTTAGAGAACCGGTCGACATTCAATGGGTTGATATAGGTTACAACACAGTGACACGGTACATTGATGGAAACATTAAACACTTTTCTACTAATTTGCATATGTGATAATATAAGTAATCGAATGTTGTAAAGTATTTTGGACTTTTCCCCCTAATAATTTTACATTGTAAGACATTTAAAAGCCGCCACTAAACGAATTCTTTTAGATTTGTTCTTGTAAACATACCGTTCTACCGATCTTGCGAAAGTTTACTTTTTGGTAGCTTTAAAAAGACAGTTCTAACAGAATCCATCTAGTGGCAGTCATATTAATGTTAGTTTCCAACACTTAATTTCTTTGACACACACGCAAGTTAGTAGAAAACTTTTCTGACGAATGTATATCATACTGAATATTACATTTCGCGAATTATCTGCAGGGTACTTCAATAAACCAGTTTTACTCATATGTGTAAAACATAATAGTAAAGCCATGACAAATTATTAACTTTGAAAGAAGCTCAAATATTTATTTCAAATTCAAAATGAGTAATTGGTCTTTGTTACGACAAAAGTTCGATTATATAATGACACATATTTGTATTATGATTATAACTTATGTGTGTTTTAAATACAAATAAAAACTGATCAGAAGTAAACTTTAATTCTATTAGCTGTCACCTTTAGTGCAAAACGATTCCTATTTATCTGAACTCGTCTTGGTGACCTTGATCAGGGAGCGATTTTCCTGAAGATAAGACAGCATAGTTGTCTCACTCTGGCGACGGTGTGATAGCGAACATATGTTTTTCATGGCTGATCTGAACAGAGAGCTCATCAGCAAGTAAATCCAGAAATTGCACTGGAATCCAACCAGGGACAGCATAACTCCTACGTAATCCCAAATAGCATCCACATTCTCTGTCAAAACTGACGCCAACCGATCAGACGCTATCTCGTACGCGTAAATACCGAACGCTACGGCATCATGAAGCTCGGAAATGAGAAATATGAGAAGAACGGCCACAACAGATTGTGTGATTTGTTGATTGTTCCTTTTAGAGAGCGCGTTTTCACACGCATTGGAGATTAATTGTTGACTTTTTCGAAGTTCAAACACAAGTAGGCATGTAAAAATCAGCAACAGAAGACATGGCAAGAATCGGGAGAAAATGCCGGATATGATGAAGTACATCCATATGGCTTTACCTATGTCTTCAACTGATTGAATATAATATTCAGGAACTTGTAAATAGCATGCATTCTCGAGTGTTTCATTTGTCTCCGAAGAAACTGGAAATGGTTTCACTTCGAAGATCAGGAAAAGATTAAGATGAATTATAATAGCAATGACACAAGCAGCGATACAAGCAAGAACAGAATGCCTTGCTGTACAAATTCGGTTAGCTTTGAAGGGAAGACGCACAATCACATACCTCTGGAGGCCAAGCATTAAGGTTATCCAATTTGAGCATGTTCTCATCACTCTATACAGACCCGCTACAATGTACTGGCGGTATACACACCATCCGAAAGGCACGTACGTTTGGTAGTTCTTCAAGGTGTAAAAATACACAGAATCAGGCAACATACAGAGACAGGTCAAGGTGTCTGACAAAGCGAGAGCAACCAGGATGATTGAGGTTGGTGTCCTTATCTTCATTGTAAACACCACCACCACCATCACATTTGTAAGTATCGTCAAAAGAGCAAGGATCGGGTAGGCATACCCCATCATTGGAACAATGAATGATGCTGCTACATGTATCTCCACAATATCCGGAGGATATTCACAGTAATCACATCCCTCCTCGACCAACGTGCCATTCTCTGCCTTAGAGGTATTCATAGTGATGTTCAGTATTACGTTCAACAACTACTTAGGATATCAATCCTTATTTGAACTAAAAAGACACTTTGGAGTAAATTACTATCATGAGCAACTAGATATTGTTTTTAAAAAGTCAAATTTTGCGAAACTGCTCCTTTGTTCGGTTGTGCCTCCCTAAACTGTCTGTCTCGATGCATGGGCTATTAAGATTGTTAATGTAACAGTAGGACTCGAGAGTCAAACGTTGCCACTCGTTAACATAACAATGCAGTATTGACACATTGTAAAGTAGTTATCTATTATCATATTTGGAATGACATTTAGTACTGTGGTTGATGACTAGCTTCCGAGACCAATTTAAAATGTGAAAATGACTGCCATGAGGATACAGGATACACAAATTGCATAGGCAGACTGTGTATTGATCGTACCGTCGCTAATGACGATTCAAGTATGATATCAGTACGTCTCTTCCTGATTGGATGTAAACTGTCGTAAACAGGAAATGTCATAGGTTATATAATTAATATTTATCGGCATAAACTGGCCAGTAAAAAAGACCATTTTGTTATGTTCGTGTTAGGGACAATAGAAGATATAGTAAATTCGTAGAAATGAAAGGGTGTTAGGATAATTATATCTTTTTCTTCCGAACTAAAATTACAAAGATATAGAAGGAAAAAACATCGGGACTTGAAAAGTATTTCGACTAAAACGGAATTTCGAGACAACGAATTTCAACTACATATTAACTAAATATTGTATTACTTATCGGGATGACATCCGTGTTAACATATAGTGTGAATTTCTTAAAGAATCTAGACTATTATTTTTAGATCTCTGTAATTCGACCTATTCTTTTTCTAAAACCCAGCATTGAAATGTCTTACCGCTGGAATAGTGTTCAAAATCCATTTATAGGCTGAACATTATGGGTTTTGTCCCTTTGAATCAACACGCTTCTATGATTTCACACTCGGGGTTACAAAATGTACTGGTAACAATGTCCAGTATATGTTATACTCTGTCGAGTCACATGCAGTTGCCACATCAATAAAAAAAATTAAGATTTTCTTCCATATTCACAGTAATACTATTATCCAGTAAGTAGGTTCTCCTTTACAGATAATCGTCTCACAGCGTACGCTTATGATTGTACAAATTCGTCTGTGTTTTCTTTATACAAAATGATGGATGTACAAATTAATATGTTATTCTTTATGCAAAAGGTTGGTTATACATACTCATCAGTTCTTCTTTATACAAAAAGTTGTCTCTACAAATTGACCTGTTCTACAAAATGTCGGCTGTAAAAATCGATCTGTTCTACTTTATATACGATGCTGGCTGTTAAAAATCATCTGTTCTTTTCTATGTACGATGTTGGCTGTACGAACCGGTCTGTATCTTTCATCGTTCCTTCTTTATACAAACTTTAGGACTAAGTTTGCGAATGGCATTCTTTCTGGATTTAATGCCAGATATCATGTCATGTGCCACATGTACCAGAAACGGTTCGTTGATGCATGAAGAGAATACCCTTGATGATTTAAGGTCTGGTTCTGGTCATGCCATTTTTTATATATAATGTTTTCTCAAAACAAATTGCTTGGAGATTTTCAGGTTGCTTAAAACATTACTCACTTTTTCGATTCTGTCAGATAGACAGTAGCAAATATTGATACCAAGTTCTCTTTTATCGCCCTCTTTACTAGAAATTGAAATGAATCAAGGTTATGAAATTATTTCATCGAAAGATAACATTCAATGATTAATACAAAAAGATACAATATACTCCGATTCTAATGAGGAGGAAAAGAGCATGGAGCTCCTTGTAAAATATTGTACAAGTGTAACAAACTATGTAATCAACTGATATAGAGTTTTTGATTTTTACGTCGTTTGGTTCTGAGAACAAAATGATATCATCTCCTCACGCAAAATATAAACTAATATGGCATGAATTAATACTAGGCTGTTTGCTTGTCATTAAAACTTTCAGCATTGTGATTTCACCGATAGGGTTTAAATATCACGGCTAGGCCTCAACTAATAAAAATAAATAATATATCTAGATGTAACCAGGCATTCCCTTTTAACATAGAGGTACTTTTAACAACTTACAAACTCAACAGATCTGAGAAATGTATGATTGAAGGGATATTCCGTCAAAGATGCTAAGTTTCTGGTTGTTTTGTTCTTTTTAAGAACTCGTTCTAACGACTTGTTAAACTGTTGTTAGCATCAAAATATCTCCTCTGTGTCAATTTGGACAAGCGAAATTTGTGGGAATACTCTAGCGAAATGTCCAAATGTAAGCACATTGAGAAATTCGAAAATGGTCACTGGATCACAAATTTTATGCAGAGTATCGGGTAAATACACAAGTGTATGTGCTGTTCACAAACAAATACAACCTTAGTAAGCTATAACTAGCATGGTTACGATTTAAAACAAACATGTGACAAACCATTTCATACAAAAATAATTTAATAACCTAAGATTTGCTTGAAAACATCTGCATACATTTGTACTCTTATTGTAAAATCATACATTATCACAGAATAAGACAACTGGAAAAAATCAACTGTTAACAAATTAGATCCTTTTTTCAGTCGTGTAAACTCATCAACTGAGGCCAAAGGAAAAATAGAAAAAAAGTATTCTTTATATTATTGCTGGCCTGAGATATTTCAATACCATCTTCATGAAAGGGTAATTTGTAAAACATTATATAGATGGCTGAGATCTGGTTACCTTGTAAACAATTATCAATAAGCTATTTATCATCATAAAATTGAACAAATTATTGCATCAACTATAGCCATTACTGAAATCATACTTCAAACACACTGTAAACATTAGATATATACAGGCAAGTCAGACAGGTACAATCATGACCACTGATTAATGATATAATGTCATTTTCTGGAGTATAAACAGGGATTGTTTTTTCCCCTATTTACTTATTTAGTTTTCCCTAATAAAGATATTTGCACCAATCAAGGGCCCTTGGTTTTACGAATCATTTCTTCATGGATGTCCCACTGCTCCTTAGTTACCTGGTGGAGTTCATTAAACGATCCTGCTCTACCAACATATTTTCCGCCATCAAAGCGAACAACCTGAAACAAGAAATGTATTAGTAGTAAGATTAATATATATGGGTGGTCGGTGGTACCGCACTCGCCTTTCGACCGGGGTTCGATTCCCGGAACGGAGGTGAAAAGGTAAGGGGTCACCTGCCAGACCACGTGGTTTTCCCCGGGTACTCCGGTTTCCTCCCACAATAAGACCCCTCGCGCGCTTACATCCGGGTCAACAAGAGTGATTAGTATAAGTTGACATAACTTGTTTCGCAATTGCTGTAAAATAAATAAAGTTTATGTATGATTTGGTTATTGTGATGGTTGAAATAAGACTAGTCTATAGATAGATCACAATGATAGCTGGAATAATATATAGTTGTAAATGTATATCTACATCACTATGATGTATCTATCTTGCTCTCTGCCAATAGGACAAGGAATCAAAATTAAAATGTTGCTTTTGATATATCAGATTTGTTTTAAAAATATAAAATTAGTTGCTTTGATTTAAAAAACAGCCTTAAGGAAACATATATGTGCAGTAGCATAGCTTTGGAAAAGAATCAGCTAAAACATATCAATGATTTTGAAGGTACCTCCCCTGTTACCCAGCTTGCATAGTCGCTGACAAGGTAGCTAGCCAGGTTAGATAACTCCTCAACCTCTCCAAGGCGCCCAACTGGCAACACTTCCTTCTTACTATCTATAAACTGACCAGTGGGGTCAAGGCGGCTAAATGCATCCTATCAGAAGTAGACATATTCGATTACATATTTATAAAAAAGATAATACAAAATTTCTATGGATATCGGGGTTTCAACAAATATGATGTAGCGGGGGCAGTACGGCATTCAAATATGGTCGTGGTATGGCATTTAAACTATGGGGGTAGTAGGTCACTCAAAAATGTTGGGGTAAAACATTCATATGTAGGGGTAGTAGGGCATCCCAATATAGCGGAAGTTGGACATACCAATTATGGGTAGTAAGTCATTCCAATGTGGGGTCGATGGTCATTCCATGATGGGGTTGTAGGACATTCAAATGTGGGGTAGTAGGTCATTCCAATGTGGGAGAAGTAAGTCAACCAATGTGGGGCTAGTTGGTCATTGCAATGTGGGGTAGTAGGTCATTCCAATGATGGGAAGTAAGTCATTCCAATGTGGGGTCGAAGGTCATTCCATGATGGAATAGTAGGACATTCAAATGTGGGTAGTAGGTCATTCCGATATGGCGGTAGTAGGACATTCAAATGTCTTGTAGTAGGTCATTCCATTGTGGGTGAAGTAGGTCAACCCAATGTGGGGGTAGTAGGTCATTCTTATGTGGAGGTAGTAGGTCAGTCCAGTGTGGAGTAGTAGGTCATTCCAATGTAGGGGAAGAAGGCCATTTCAATGTTGGGATAGTAGGACATTTAAATGTGGGAGTAATAGGACATTAGAATGTGAGGTTAGGATATTAACATGCAGGAGTAACAGGAAAATCAAATTTTGTCACTGTTATCACCAATATAAGAAACAGAAGGATCTATGCCACATTGTATTGATTAAGATTTTTAGAAGTTCTTAACCACTGAATTTCAAAACACGTATATCCTGTAAGTTAACTCCGCTTACCACAGTGTTCATAGGTCCTGGGGCAATGCAGTTCAACCTTATTCCATATTTTCCCCACTCGGAAGCTAAAGACCTGTTGATATATAAAAACAGAACTACTTAGTAATAGAAATTGTTATCCAATATTGAAACTGTCACATATTTCTTGAGCCTGCAACTGCTGATGGAGAAAGTAATTTTTTCACAAATGTAGACTAAAATCATAATGGAACAACTGCTCTCAGACTCTAAGCACCTTTTTATTGTATATATTGTATTCCTCCATTTACCTACGACCAGAGGCCAAGGCATTACTATCATCTCAAGGTCAAATGTTAAGCTTCCTACAACATATACCCCTAATTTAATAACAATAATACTAGAGTCAAGCTAGGTATATAGCCATATTCATGTGATAACAATTTGACCAAAACTTCTGACATCCATTCTTATGAATCATAGAAAAACTTTTCGATGTCAAATTATGAGACAATTCTCATTTCCTGTAAGCCTTATATTTTTTTTCATTATCTTGATATTTTGAATTATTACATATTTTGAATTTCCTTTCATTGAATGATTCAGTATGTATAGTAAATAACATTGTCAAACAGTTATAAAATTCTTCATATATTTCAGTTTTCAGTCAACAATGACAAAATGTTTTACATGTTGATTTGGTGACACAATTATTGATTCTTGAATTTCAAAGATGTGAACGGTAAAATTTTTCATCCTATGTGATAAAACAGAAGTTGAAATCTGACAAGTAAAAACAAAGAACATTGTAAAGATTATGAGTCATGATACTTTGTCATGGCTTCAACTCCTGCCTTGGCTGCAGCACTGGGAGAAACATAAGCTGATCCACTCTCTGCGTATATGGTAGTGATAGCAAGGAAGGCAGCACCTAAAGAGGAAAACAGTTTGTTATGATATAAAGCACATCCTTTTATCAAAATATTTTGGTTAGGCCAACTGTCTTCTGAACAGTCAATACAAATGTATTTTTTCTAATTTTTGAGCGGGAAATGTTGAACTATTGTACATCACGTGATCTGAACAATTAATTTTTTGAGCCGTAATTTACACTTTAGCTATCCTTTTCTGTTAAATTGTTCTGAAGACGGTCGTAGCCAACCGAAACATGTCACAAAATAAAATTTAAGTTACGGAATCCCTGGTGTTGATGCTCCATCCTATATCTAGTTGTGATTACCTATTGTCTATGGAGCTCTACTGTATCTGCCTAGGATTCCTCTACCGATACAACTTCCAACCAGTACCACCCACAGGACGTTTGACTCCTCTACCCTTTTTTATTTTTCCAAAATATATTAAGAGTTTTTTTTATTCACACTAATGTATATCATCTGATACAAACAAATTGGGCACATTATCTCACTAATACCCACCCTGTCCTGCAGCTATAAGGCGCTTGCCAATATTCAGAGTGACATAGGCCGAGCCGTTTAGTACAATGTCTGTGATGGTTTTCCAAGCATTAGGAGAAAGTCTTTCTGATGGTGATATGAAATTTCCTGCAGCGTTGTTGATAACAACATTTGGTAGACCAAACGCTTTTACACATTGGTCAACTGCCTTTTCCACAGTCTCAGGTTTTCTCACATCAGCAGCCACGGCAAGCACCTGTTAGAACATAACAGAATAGTGTCAACCACTGAAACTCTAGGCTACATTTATATGGTAACATTGCAACTGATAGAAACCATGGTTATGATGTACATGTGTCATAAGTCTAATTATGTATAGTTCTTTGAACTTTCTAATGTACTTTACTATGTGATACACAAATAGCTAAAATAGAATAATCTATTTTTTAAATGAACTTCTGACCTAATAAGTCAAATATGATTTTCCTAATTTCATGATTCCCGAAAATGTTCTTGGTAGTATAAAGCCACTGATTTGTCCATCCGTCTAATTTTCCGTCAGTCCTTTTTTGTATAGAGCATAACTTTTATTTAAACTAGGATAATGATCCCTAATGTATACATTGTTCATATTAAGATAATGTGCAGTGTACCACAGTCAGGGCCCAAAACCCCTAAATTACAACTGAGTTGTTTTTCGAGGGGCATTCATCAGTTTCACTGATGCTGTTGATGACAGAAGTAAAACTCTCATTTGTGGACAATTACAGCGTTCAAATTATATATATATATATCTAGACCTTAGGCTGTTGTAATTTTAGTTGTAAACTACTTAATACTTAAATACATAAGGCAACTACTACATGAAGTGTACTATTAGTTGATTTTACCTTACTTCCTGTTTCCTTACTAATTTCAGCTGCAGTGTTTTCGAGTACATCTATCCTTCTGCAAATATCAGAACTTACTTTTACATTGCATCTCATATTTCTTAAATGAAGTACATTTCATCTTATCTAGGTAAAAAAAATACAATGAAAAATGAAATTGAAGGAGTTTTAATACATCGATCGACTCACCGACTGGTAATGAAGTCTTAATACAGTGACTCACCGACTGGTAATGACAACTTTTGCTCCCAGTCGAGCCAGCATTGTTGTCATCCCTTTTCCCAGACCAGTGCCTCCTCCTGTTATGAAGACCGTCTTTCCTTTAAATGAGCCTTCAGGGAGTATTGGGGTTTTAACAATTGGAAACATCTTGGCTTGTTCTCCAACAAAGCATGGAGAGGAGACGGACAGATGGCGTATACATCCATTCTATTAATTAAAATTAAAATCTTATAGGACTTTAACAAGAAAAAAACAAACAATCATTTAAAAGATTTTACACTGCTAGCCATCTCATATTCAGTATTCTTCCCTTTGAGACCTCGGATTGCTCTTCAGCCTACAGTATTTTGGCAGATGAACCTATACATGTAATACAAATCTGACTTGTTGACAGCAGTTGGCAGCTAAATCAATGATGTTATTTATGTCAAACACTGAATTATATGAGCAAAGTTATTTGGCTGCCTTTAACTCCTGATCAAATCTTTGTACCAGTAACATGTGTAATACCATGTTTCATTCACATTCAGGTTAAGAGATCCCAGGAATGGCTTCATCTGAGAAAATGAAATTCTTCTGGAAATGAAAGGTGTGAAGCATCCAGAAGTGAAAGGCACAGAGCATATGTGCTTTGCACTTTCCCGTAGCTAATGTTTATATAAAATAATATGACACCGGGTTTGCTTTCCCTAATTTCTTTGACTTACTTTATTTTTTTTTACTGAACAGAAAGATGATTTTGCACAAATGAAATGAGCATGAAATAAAATTTCTTTATTGCCCTAACTACCCGACATATGATGCCGACCAGTATCATGATGTCACATGTATAAACACCAGCACACAGAAGGTCAACAATACAATAATTGCAAAATCGATCCCTTACTGTAGCATGCCAAATTTTCTTCATTTCCTGAAACACATTCATCAGTAAACCAAAATGTATTAGCGTTCTATTTACTTGACACTTTTAAGCAAAAATGTCATTGTGGCATATAGGCTTTGCTCTCTCCTGGCACTGCCTACCTCATATCAACAATTCAACTCAATTTTCCATATAGAACCATATTATAACTGCTTTCTTATGAATTAATCTATGACTATATAATTTTTCTGTCATGTTTCTGAAAGTATGAAAATGGGGAAAAAATCCAGGGAGAGTTACCCCCCTTTAGCAAAGTTGAAATAACTATGCACATGTACATTTTGTAAGTCGATATTTGTCATACAATGATCACCGATAATTATAAAGCGTATGTCAACCGTTCCGTACAAATGAAAATCATAAGTTCATCCCACTAGTAGCCTGCATGAAGTTACTTAATGTAATGACTGAACTTCGAACTGTTCGGGGGAATGAGGTATGATTGCACCATCATTTGTTGAGTAAAAAATTAAGTGTTATAAAACAGTGTTACGTTTGTATTTACATGCTATTGTAATAGTTGTTCACAGTTTTATTAAAACAACACAAAAAACCCTATAACATGAAAGACATCATATTACAACAATACATACACAATGATACGATAAGATAACCATATCATATAACCATATAACCAGATCACTCTGACTGTAGTCAGTTACATTGGTTTGAAATACTGAATATACATATATATTCATTACAACTACAGAAATAACAGTTGGTTACCAATTATACTACATATATAAAAGATACCCAAATAAAAAGTCCGCCGAGCCCTCAGCCGTTCAGTACACACTGTAAATAAAACAATACACACATTAAAAACTATGCTTCTTCGGATTCACCTGTCTATTAAAACACACTTCCAAAATATAAACTTTACTTTTAAACAAAAATATGCCTTTAATCAAATATATTATTAAGTAGATACAATATTAAATTACGCTAATATTCTACACATAGTACTTACATTTAAAATTCTAGGCTCTAGTGCCGCTACCTCTCATGGTCACTAGGCTGGCTATTATCACACTACGACGATGTTGAATATAAATATATGAACTTTATTTATTTTACAACAATTGCGAAACAAGTTATGTCAACTTATACTAATCACTCTTGTTGGCCCGGATGTAAGCGCGCGAGGGGTCTTATTGTGGGAGGAAACCGGAGTACCCGGGGAAAACCCACGATGTTGAAGCTCCGAGCGGTCTGTCCAAAGTGACCAGTGCGCCAGGAAAAACTTCCCAACATTCAACACTTAATTACTATACATAGAGAATACTTACTGGACAAACAGGCTTACTACACATTACATCACATCCGCTCAGTATCTCACTCGCATTCTCACGTCCTATTTCCGCGCGCGCGCTAAAAGTTTTGCCGCAATTCGCCACGTACAATATTTACGGTTGGCTGATATCCGTTACATTCGAACGCATATAGCTAAAATACTACGAATATGCTAAAAGCAATATTGCCAAATAATGACAGTACTACACTATAGCGAACATCGATATGGTACATGTTTTATTACCTGTATATTAAAAGTTCTGTTTACTTTACCGACGAGTCTGCTGCAGAAGGCTGACATCTTGAGCGAGTTTGATCAGCTACCACGGTCACTGTAGTTCGACTAAAGTGATACCAAACTCTGTCTGGTCTGCGGAAGTTACGTCATTTTGAAACCACGTTCAACCCACACCTTGGGGTAAAGTCAAGCTAGCCCGCAATAGTTGACCGCAGTAAGGTTATCGACTACTTTAGCCTTGCAGAAATTACCGGAAGTTAGTAGCACCGCGTAGTTTTGAAATCAGAGAGTACTGAAGCCGCGCAATAACTTACAGGTTAAGTTCTAAATATTATAAATACTAAAATAATCTAATTAATTCATCATGTCTTGTGAAAAAAGCATGAAGTTGACCATGTGTCTTGGCGGCGAAGGTGACAGAAAAGTATCTTTTTCTGGTGGAGAATCGATTGTCCACCCGAAGAAGAAACTTCATCGTATCGCCATCATGGGATCCAGTCACATCGCCCGAATGGTGAAGGATGAATTCGTCTATGGCACCACTGTGACGAAGTTTATAGGGAAGGGTGGTGCTAAGGCGAATGACGTATTGACGTAACCAGTTGTTAATGTTTACGCCGGATTTGATTTTTATTCACCTTGGAGGAAATGATACTGACGGGAATGATTCGGCTGAACACGTGGTTGGCGAACTTCTCGGAGGTTGTCATTTCCTCATGCCTGCAGTGCCTATCCTGACCTGGCATTGGATCTCAGCTAATTCATCATCGGGCACGGATTATTTCTCCTGGCATGTTCGAGATCAAGAGAAAATCCGTGAACAAAATGCTGGAATTCCGTATATTACAGTCATGCAGATACGTATATATCTCTCCGAGTCATGTACTCGGATTTCGGAGTGGCGCCATAAAAAGACACCCATTGACCGATGCAACCGGAGGTTCTTCATATCTGTTCGGTGGGGCAGTTATGAAGTTTCATTCGTGAATTTTTGAGAATCACGATAGTGTGCAGTCACATTATGCTATTATAGTATAAAGTTATAATACATGTTTCATGTATCAGAATGAAACAGACAAGGTAGGATGTAGTTGTTGAACTACGCCATATCTTCGAATACTTCTTCTTGCTTTTGATATTACTTCGGAGCCTCATAGATCAAATACAAGCTCATCATTGCTTACATTGAACAGACTTGTGACTGTAACGGTCTAGTTGTAAGACTGTCCGAGTTATGCCCCTTATTATGTAATATTATCACTGATGCATTTTGGGTAATAAAATGAGTTTTAGGGCGGACGTCTTTGTTTGTAGTCGTGCCTTTACATTGTGTCAGAAATCAACGAACCGTGGAGCGCCTACAACCCCCTCCCAGTCTGAACCTTAGCGGTAACCTTGCAGAAAACTGGAGGAGATTTTGGCCCTGGTTCCTCTAGATCAAACCTGGCTGCCGATGGTAAGCTCGTGGTTTTGTCAATGCACAAAATAAGTTTTGTGCGAGTCTTTACAATCGCACAAAAAAATATTATGTACGCGCAATGCATTTGTAGATGTATTTCACAAGTTAGTTAAGAGGTTTGTATGTATTTAAGTGGCAAGTGGAGCTATTTTCATGGTTTGAAATAGTAGATCTGATTTTTCTACTCCTACTGTAAGGGCACATACGGTATACATGCATATAAATGGTAAATTTATAAATTGGCTCGTCATATACTGTACACGTATGTAATGATATATGCTGATGCAGATGTATTTTCTGGATATTCCCCTTTTTTGCAAGTGCAAAAATACTAGGGTACTTCACTCACAATATGTTATCCTGTTAACAATTTGTGATTCATTTTCTAGACAAATTTTGTGGTCAAGAATCTATCACAAATTATTGACATGATGATATATTGCGAGTCAGAGTTTAACAGTTTTTTGGGGCCCAGGGTCTCTTGGGCTCCTCTCTGTTGTTGCCAGAATCTTGCTAAAAAGCCAATACTGTGTTGTTTAATCAGATGGATGCTGTAAAGATCAAAAGGACATGCTACATATGTCACATTCCTGTGACAGATCACTCTCTACACTCACTTGAAGCTCAAGAATCCTCAGGGAAGATTGAAATTTTTGTTGACGGTGATAATAATAATAATAATAATAATAATAAATAATAATATACAACATTTATATAGCGCACTATCTATTTTGAAAAAATACTCTAATGCGCTTCACAATTACATAATAATCTTACTACAAAATTTAAAGAACATGTATAACGCAGTAATCAACATATGTAACACAGTAACCAAATCAAGTAAGTAGTGGTGATAGTATGTATATACAGGACGTCTGCGTATGAGTCTAAAATGCAGACGTAAACAGGTGGGTTTTAATATCCCTCTTGAATTTGGCCAGGGATTTTGACCTTCTGGTAGCAGATGGTAAGCTGTTCCACAAAGTGGACGCTACCTTTCCAAAGCACCGGTTACCATAAGTCACATTCCGAGAGTTTGGAACACACAACAATGATTCTGTCTTCGATCGTAGTGATCGTGACGGCTGATAAACGGTGACAAGTTCCTGCAAATATTCAGGAGCTGTTCCATTTATTGCTTTGTATGTATACATCAAAATCTTGTACTGTGACCGGAATCGCACGAGCAGCCAATGCAATAAGTAAAGGACTGGTGTAATGTGGTCCCCCTTTCGAGTACGGGTAACTAGGAGTGCTGCGGTGTTCTGTAGCCTCTACTTGTGATTACAAGTAAGATCTTTAATTCAGAAAATATTCACAGGTATCAATATTTAATTTAGTCATTATGTATGTACAGGTACAGTACTGTAATATTACTCAAATAATATTAGGTTGTACAAGGTTTGTAGAGTTTATTCATAATCAGATAAATGACTTGTCAATCTGAGTCAGATTCAGGATATTTCTGGCTCTGGAAAAAAGGTTTTGTTGTAATTTTGCATAAAAATAAGAGTTTATAAAGTTAGTAATTTTCTATATTTTATATAGGATTTATCTGCGCTGCCCAGCCTGTAGGTTGTGTTTCCATCAGGTTTGCTGTGAAAACTATGAATTAGAACTACACATTACACAAGAAGTTTGAGGGACATATTGTGATGTTTGTGCAACAAAAGGTTATTAACTCTTCATGTTATGGTTGATTTAACTTCACCTAAGTAACATACAACTGTATAATAATTGTTCCCCCTTTTGCGAAAGCATGGAGACACTTAATCTCATTTGTCGGTCTGTCTGTCTGTCCGTGAGTCTGTCACAAATACTGTAATTCTTGGTCATAACTTCAGACTGAAAGAAGATTCGGCTTTCATATTTCACATGGGTATTACCTATGTGTAAGTGTGACAAGACCTTTCATAATGTACTATAATTTTTTGAACTCTTGTCCTCCAAGTTTGACCTATTTTTCAAAAACTTTGACCTTGGTCATAACTTTTGAATGAAATATTGTACTTGGAGAAAGGACTTTCATATACCCAGTCAGTATGAAGCTTTGGACCACTAATCTCTGAATTTGTTTGTCTCTGTCAGTTTTATTCATTGGATGTAAATATGAATTTAAACTTTCAGTATATTAAAATTACAAACATTGAAGAATATGTTGGTGTAACAATTGCATGTCTAGAGTTTAATGAAATGTTTCTTTTATAATTAGAATGAAGACAATAGAAGTAAAAAAGAAAAATGGTGAATCTGTGGAGCTACAGGTTGGTGATGACATATTGAAAGTGCTGATGTCTAAGGATATAGGTAACTAACAAATTTCAAATTATCACCAAGTTTTTATTAAAATCTTTCCTTGACATTGAAACAATTTTTTTTTTGGGGCAGAAAAATCGTACAAGTGGAGAAAACAATACTGTAGTATAGAATAATCAAGTTCAATATGCTGGTATAAAGGACTAACAGGTCACTTCTATTATTTTGTTTGTTTGTTATAAGTTTTACGTCCTTTTAACAGCCAGGGTCATTTAAGGATGTGTCAGGTCTTATTGGTGAATTAAAGCTAAAGTTCTCAGAGAAAAACCACAGACCGATGACCAGTACCTAGCAACTGCCCCACATAGGTCTCGAACCCACGGCCCATAAGTGGAGGGTTAGTGGGCTCAAGAGTCAGATACCTTAACCACTTGGCCACAGCGGCCCCACTTCTAATGATTGAGTATATCATGCATATTCATTTTTACAGATCCATCAGTCAAAAGTGCTGTAGTAAAAAGTTTAATGCCAGAGTCAGCATCTCAATCCAGCACATCAGTCTTCCCTCTAGCTTCTAACAACCACCAACAGGCAACCTCATCTTCTTCAACAAGTTTTTCTTCAGCCAACCCAAGTTCATCTTCAGCCATTTCAAGTTTGTCATGAGCCTCTACAAGTTCATCCACAGCCACGTCTTAATGTACACATTTGGACTGGTGACCAAGAGGACATGCTCGTATCCTTACGTCATGAGAGGAAAAGCTGCTTTAATAAATAAAAAAACCATTTATCGTTGTGGCAAGAAATATGTGAAGCATTGAATAGCACACTTAAGTGTAACATAACTTCTACACAGGCTATGAACAGCTTAATGAAAAGATGGAAAGAAGTGATGGACTCGGGAACTGGCACAGAAGTCAAATATTTCAGACAAAGGGAGTTGTTTGATGAAGTATATGGAACCAGAGAAAGTACGAGGCCTTCTTACCAGATTTATAGTACATCAAGTAGTGAAGGAAACACACAGCCAAAAAGTTCCTCAACCAAGGCAGCCACATCAAAGAAAAGAAAATCAACTGTTAGTAGAGTTGATTGAGAATCATCACAAAGAATTTAATGAAAAAATGGAAGCCATGCACAATGATAAAATGGCACGACGTGATGGACTTCTAGACCTCTATCAAAAAGATATTGAAAATAAGTAGATCTATTCTAGTTTTCTTTGATTCTTGAAAGGGACATTACATCCTGCAAATGATCAAAAAGTTTTCATTTCAGTGACGTTACACAGTGCTTTAGATTAGCCCATTTCTTGTTTTATATCAGATGATCAAAAGGTTTTTCATTTCAGTTTTAGTATGTTATACAGTGCTATAGGTTAGCATGTTTTGATTTGTTTGACTTTTAGTTACCAATAGAAAATATTTTTGCAATAAGAAATTGTGTGCCAAATGGAGCTGTGCTGAATGTGCAGGAGATAATTTTCTTGTGTATTTCATGAACATTTTATATCTTAAGACATAGTATTGATTATACTGAACAACTGCATGTTGTTTTAGATGCTTTACTATTTTACATCACAGTACAATTAATTGTACCACAGTTGTGAATTCAAATTGCCTCTGATCTTGCTCTCTGATTTAGATAATTGATGTTTTTAAGTTGCTTGCCTTCTCAGGATTGACTTGGTTATGTTAAAATTTAGATGTAGTAGAACAAATTCAGGATTGCAGAGTATTAAAGGGAGTATGGTTCTGTCTATCATTAGTTCCCATGGTCCCAGTATTGAAATATTCACTTTCAACCAACTGCTTTACTTTAAATAGCAATATCTAAACAAAACCCATATCCAATAAAGCTGTTCTTAATGTGCAGAAAACAAGTTTTATTTTGACAATTCTGATTTCATATCTGTGACATAGTCTTTATAACAAAGAACAATGATGATTTTTTTAGATGCTTTATTTTCCTGTTTTACATCACAGTACAAATATACATGTAATATCAATTTCATTCTGATGGTGCTATGTAATTGAGAAATAATATAATGTGTATGTAAGGGCTGTTCCAGTAAATATCTACTCCACCCCAGGACTCCAGGTTTTGTTTACGGGTACCCCCCCCCCCCCCCCCCCAATACAATTTCTTTGAATTGAACAATTGAAAGGACATTATAGAATTTGTGACATTTACTAAGAGTATAAGGTAAGGTTCAGAAATGGCTCCATAACAAGGCAAGGGTTCATCGCAAGGCTTCTTGTAACCACTTATTTTGTTCATTGGAATCTATTTGTTATTTGAAGCAAACATTATTTGTCAAATTTGGCATAAGAAAAAAGTTATGATCAATTAAATAAAGAAAAATGTGATTTTTTCTTGATTTTTAGGTCATCTGACCCAAAGGGTCTTGATGACCAATTGCAATCACCTTTTGTCCTGTGACATCCGTCATAAACATTTTCAACTTCTTCTGAAGCTGTACATGTCTCATTGAGCTGAAATGATCGTGACATGATCCTGACCAAAGTTTGTCAATTTCGGGTTGGTCCGAAATCCAAGATTGCAGCCATGGCCACCATCTTGAAAACACATTTTCGACTTCTTCACAGGTTCCACCAGTGTGATTGAGCCAAAACCTGCATGGAATGATCATGACATGGCACTGACCAAAGTTTGTCAATTTCGGGTTGGTCCGAAATCCAAGATTGCAGCCATGGCCACCATCTTGAAAACACATTTTCGACTTCTTCACAGGTTCCACCAGTTTGATTGAGCCAAAACCTGCATGGAATGATCATGACATGGCACTGACCAAAGTTTGTTAATTTCGGGTTGGTCCAAAATTCAAGATGGCCGCCATTTTGAAAATACATTAAAAACACATTTTCAACTTTCTTTCAAATTCTACTTGTGACATTGAGCTGAAGCTTACCTGAAATAATAGTGACATATTCCTGTCCAAAGTTTGTCAATTTCGGGTTGGTCCGAAATCCAAGATGGCCACCATCTTGAAAACACATTATAGACTTCTTCTCAAGTTCCACTAGTGTGATTGAGCCGAAACTTGCATGAAATGATCATAAAATGGCACTGACCAAAGTTTGTTACTTCAAACATCCTCTGAATAACCAGAACACCCAGGGTGATATTTTGCCTGTAGCATGCTGGGATGAAGGTTTACGAAGATTGTTGAAATAAATAACTTTAACCCACGTTCAATTCGTGACCGGTAAGTTTGTCAATTAGCAGCTTAATTGCGTGGAGTCAGAATCTCGAAAGTGACGTCATGTGATTGATATGATGTTGTGATATATTTCTTATCTTTGTTTTTGTTCTTCAAAATATGAAACAGAGATAAAGAAGGTTTAGAGATGACAATGGATTAAAAAAACATCTTTGCAAGTAAAGTAAGAGGCCTGGAGGGCCCATATCAGTTCTTTAGATACTAATTTCTCTTTTATCATGCTGTTTACTAGAAAATAATAAAATGAATCAAGCTTAAGAAATTATTTCATCAAAAGATAAAATTCATTGATTGATACAAAAAGATACAATATACTCTGATTCTAATGAGGAGGAAAAGAGCATGGAGCTCCTTGTAAAATGTGGTACAAGTGTAACAAATTAAGACATAACAACTTTTTTATTTTTACATCGTTGGGTTCTGAGAAAAAAACGACATCATCTCCTCACGCAAAATAAAATATAATGAAAAAAAAAATCATAAATCATGATCATTTTCAAATTCACAATTTCAATGGAACATTTATTTGTCGTGGAAACGTTGGTTAATGAATGACAGCGTCTCTTCAGTATGTGCAAATTGATGTATATTTTTGTTATTTTCACATTCTGTTTTGTATTGTCCACCATATGTATGGACTGGTAATAGAATCAATCCTACATAAATATATTTTAATGTAACACTAAGAGTTTGTGTTTACTTCAATACATATCAATCAATATGGCATGAATTAGTACTAGGCTGTTTGTTTGTGATTAAAACTTTCAGCATTGTGATTTCACCGATAGGGTTTAAATATCACGATTAGGTCTCAACTAATTAAAATAAATAATATATCTGGATGTAACCAGGCATTCCCTTTTAACAAAGAGGTACATTTAACAACTTCCAAACTCAACAAATCTAAGAAATGTATGATTAAAGGGATATTCCGTCATAGATGCAAAGTTTCTGGCTGTTTTGTACTTTTTAAGAACTCATTCTAACGACTTGTTAAACTGTTGTTAGTATCAAAATATCTCTTCTGTGTGAGTTTGGACAAGCGAAATTTGTGGGAATACTCCTAGCCAAATGTCCAAATATAAGCACATTGAGAAATTCGAAAATGGTCACTCGATCACAAATTTTATGTAGAGTATCAGGTAAATACACCAGTTTATATGCTGTTCACAAACAAATACAAGCTATAACTAACATGGTTACAATTTAAAACATAAACATGTGACAAACCATTTCATACAAAAATAATTTAATAATCAAAGATTTGCTTGAAAACATCTGCATACATTTGTACTTTTATTGTACAATCATACATTATCACAGAATAAGACAACTGGAAAAAATCAACTGTCAACAAATTTGATCCTTTTTTTTCAGTTGAGTAAACTCATAAATTGAGGCCAAAGGAAAAATAGAAAAAAAGTATATGTAAACATTAGATATATACAGGCAAGTCAGACAGGTGCAATCATGACCACTGATTGAAACCTTTCTTTCAGAACTTCAAACAAACTATCAGCATCTAATTCAAACCAGATCCAATGTTTTAATGATGTAATGTCATTGTCTGCAGTATAAACTCGGATTGTTTTTTGCCCTCTTTACTTATTTATTTTTCCCTTATAAAGATATTTGCACCAATCAAGATCCCTTGGTTTTACGAATCATTTCTTCAAGGATGTCCCACTGCTCCTTAGTTACCTGGCGAAGTTCATTAAACGATCCTGCTCTACCAATAAATTCTCCTCCATCAAAGCGAACAACCTGAAACAAGAAATTTATTAGAATATTGATATATATGATTTGATCATTGTGATGGTTGAAATAAGACTAGTCTATAAATAGATCACAATGATAGCTGGAATAATATAGTTGTAAATGTATATCTACATCACTATGATGTATCTATCTTGCTCTCTGCCAATAGGACAAGGAATCAAAATTAAAATGTTGCTTTTGATATATCAGATTTGTTTGATAAAATGAAATAAGTTGCTTCAATTTAAAAACTACAGCCTAAAGGAAACATATATGTGCAGTAGCATAGCTTTGGAAAAGAATCGGCTACAGCAAATCAATAATTTTGAAGTTACCTCCCCTGTTACCCAGCTTGCATAGTCGCTGACAAGGTAGCTAGCCAGGTTAGCTAATTCCTCAACCTCTCCAAGGCGCCCAACTGGCATCACTTCCTTCACGTTATCGATAAACTGACCAGTGGGGTCAAGGCGGCTAAATGCACCCTATCAGAAGTAGACATATTCAATTACAGATTTATAAAAAATTTGATACAAAATTTATATGGATATCAGGTTTTCAACAAATATGATGTAGTGGGGCAGTATGGTATTCAAATGTGGGAGTAGTACGGCATATAAAATATGGGGGTAGTAGGTCACTCAAAAATGTTGGGGTAGACCATTCAAATGTGGGGGTAATAGGTCATTCCAATATGGTGGTAGAAGGGCATTCAAATGTAGGGGTAGTAGGTCATTCCAATGTGGGGGTAGTAGGACATTCCAATGTGGGGTAGTAGGTCATTCCAATAGGGGGTAGTAGGTCATTCCAATGTGGGGGTAAAAGGTCAGTCCAATGTGGGGATAGTAGGTCATTGGTATGTGGGGAAGTAGGTCATTGGTATGTGGCTGTCATAGGTCATTCCAATGTGGGGGTAGTAGGTCAGTCCAATGTGGGGATAGTAGGTCAGTAAAATGTGGCAGTAGTCGGACATTTGAATATGAGGTTAGGATATTAACATGCAGGGGTAACAGGATATTCAAATTTTGTCATTCTGTTATCACCAATATAAGAAACATAAGGATCTATGCCACATTGTATTGATTAAGATTTTTAGAGGTTCCAAAGCACTTAATTTCAAAACACGTATATCCTGTAAGTTAACTCCGCTTACCACAGTGTGGATAGGTCCTGGGGCAATGCAGTTCAACCTTATTCCATATTTTCCCCACTCGGAAGCTAAAGACCTGTTGATATATAAAAACAGAACTACTTAGTAATAGAAATTGTTATCCAATATTGAAACTGTCACATATTTCTTGACACTAATGTAGACTAAAATCATAATGGAACAACTGCTCTCAGACTCTAAGCACCTTTTTATTGTATATATTGTATTCCTCCATTTACCTATGACCAGAGGCCAAGGCATTACTATCATCTCAAGGTCAAATGTTAAGCTTCCTACAACATATACCCCTAATTTAATAACAATAATACTAGAGTCAAGCTAGGTATATATCCATATTCGTGTGGTAACAATTTGAGAAAAACTTCCATTCTTATGAATCACAGGAAAACTTTTCAATGTTAAATTATGAGATAATTCTCATTTCCTGTAAGCCTTATATTTTTTTCATTATCTTGATATTTTGAATTATCACATATTTTGAATTTCCTTTCATTGAATGATTCAGTATGTAGAGTAAATAATATAGTCAAACAGTTATAAAATTCTTCACATATTTCAGTTTCAGTCAACAATGACAAAATAAGTACCCAATGTTAAGGCCCTGTCAAGAAAGCTTAACAAAATGTTTTACATGTTGATTTGGTGACACAATTATTGATTCTTGAATTTCAAAGATGTGAACGGTAAAATTTTTCATCCTATGTGATAAAACAGAAGTTGAAATCTGACAAGTAAAAACAAAGAACATTGTAAAGATTATGAGTCATGATACTTTGTCATGGCTTCAACTCCTGCCTTGGCTGCAGCACTGGGAGAAACATAAGCTGATCCACTCTCTGCGTATATGGTAGTGATAGCAAGGAAGGCAGCACCTAAAGAGGAAAACAGTTTGTTATGATATAAAGCACATCCTTTAATAAAAATATTTAAAGTAGATATAGGATGGAGCTTCAACACCAGGGATTCTGTAACTTACCCGTAAATTTTATTCGTTGACATGTTTTGGTTGGTTTGGCTAACTGTCTTCTGAACAATTTTACATTGAGAAAAGGATAGCTAAAGTGTAAATTACGCTTCAAAATGTTAATTGTTCAGATCACTTGATGTACAATACTTAAACATTTCCCTTTCAATAATTAGACAAAATACATATGTATTGACTGGTCCAAAAGAGTGTTTGTCATCTTTAGATTTTCACAGAGTCAAAATGCCATACACACTGTAAATTAACACAGTTCTTTCTCTCAAATATTGTGCGAATTTTTTCTCTGACATCTGAATGGTGGAACTGGTTTCATATGTGCTGGTTGGGTCAGTCTCTTCCGATTGGGACGGTACTTTTCCACTTTGTGTCTTTGTGGAGATCCCTGGCATCCTTTACGGATCTGTCCGACCTAATAACCTGTGCCATACTATATCACCACCCCTCCTACTACGAACACAACCAACTATTTCCAGGTTCCGTTTACTTTACCAGAAACGAACCCTAAAAAAGGAGCCAGAATGAACTCCTCTCCGTCCCAGTCGGAAGAGACTGACCCAACCGACCCAGATGAAACCAGATCCACCATTCGGGTGTTGGAGAAAAATGTACCACCCACAGGACATTGGTTTCCTCCACCCTTTTGTACTTTTCCAAAATATTTCAAGGGTTAGAAATTTTGACTCACACTAATATATATCATCTGATACAAACAAATTGTACACATTATCTCACTAATACCCACCCTGTCCTGCAGCTATAAGGCGCTTGCCAATATCCAGAGTGACATAGGCCGAGCCGTTTAGTACAATGTCTGTGATGGTTTTCCAAGCATTAGGAGAAAGTCTTTCTGATGGTGATATGAAATTTCCTGCAGCGTTGTTGATAACAACATGTGGTAGACCAAATGCTTTTACACATTGGTCAACTGCCTTTTCTACAGTCTCAGGTTTTCTCACATCAGCAGCCACGGCAAGCACCTGTCAGAACATAACAGAATAGTGTCAACCACTGAAACTTTAAAATACATATATATGGTAACATTGCAACTGGCAGAAACCATGTTTATGACTACAAGTGTCATTAGTCTAATTATGTATAGCTCTTTGAACTTTCTAATGTACTTTACTATGTGATACACAAGTAGCCAAAATAAAATAATCTATTTTTGAAATGAAATTCTGTCCTAAAAAGACAAATATGATTTTTCTAATTTCATGCTCCCCAAAAGTTTTCTGGAGAGTATAAAGCCACTGTTTTGTTCATCCATCTATTTTTCCGTCAGTCCTTTTTTGTTCAGAGCATAACTTTGCTTTTATTTAAACAAGGATAATGATCCCTATGTATACATTGTTCATATTAAGATAATGTGCAGTGTACCACATTCAGGGCCCACAACCCCTAAATTACAATTCAGTTGTTTTTCGAGGGGCATTCATCAGTTTCAGTGATGCTATTGTTGACAGAAGTACAACTCTCATTTGTGGACAATTACAGCATTCAAATTATATATATATATATATATCTAGAACTTATGCTTTTGTAATTTTAGTTTAAACTACTTAATAATTAAATATATAAGGCAACTACTACATAAAGTGTACTATTAGTTGATTTTACCTTACTTCCTGTTTCCTTACTAATTTCAGCTGCAGTGTTTTCAAGTACATCTATCCTTCTGCAAATATAATCAAAGTACTGAAAGTACTGAAAGACTAAACGTATTGAAAAATGTTCACAAATAACCGCAAAGCTATATTACTTTCCCCATACTCCTACACTTTGGAATGCAAAAATTACTAAAATAAGAGAACCAGAGGCTATTTTTCTTAATTTTAAGCGATTTTATATCTTCTTTAATTCTTATTTCAAATTTGACGACAATAATGTGAACAAATCAAAATAGGTAAAAAAAATAACAAAATACACACAACCATATATTTATCGCCAACAAACCAAATGATAAATAGCTCTATGATGAAGTTGACTAAATAAAATCTTTGAAATACCCCAAGATGTTGCAATTACTATCCTATCAATATAAGGATTTAGACAAATCGAAAGGACTTTATACCTACTTCTTTAATTTGAATGTATTGCAAAGTAATAGTCCTTACTTATTATAATTACATTTGTAGTTGGGGAAAGTAGATAAGGTGTACACAGCATTTCAGATAGATTAAAGTGTAAGTAATTACATTAAATGTATTTACATGCCTATCTTCCTTGAAGTATCATGGTTAGACTTTTCTTCCAGTAATTATGTCTATAAAGGCATAATTCTTTGTAATTAAACCAGACTTCCATATATATATACAAAATTTACAATATTTTCACTATAGCTACTACTATTTCTGATCTCCAATATATTCGATAATGTCACCATGACACGCTAAATGAATAAATATGTTATGGAAATATTTTGTTCTAGTGAATTGATAATTATAAACATGGTTAGACTTTTCTTCCAGTAATTATGTCTATAAAGGCATAATTCTTTGTGATTAAACCAGACTTCCATATATATACAAAATTTACAATATTTTCACTATAGCTACTACTATTTCTGATCTCCAATATATTCGATAATGTCACCATGACACGCTAAATGAATAAATATGTTATGGAAATATTTCGTTCTAGTAAATTGATAATTATAAACATGAATATTTTGGTTTTTTTATACGCGCTTTGTTTGAAGGAATATTTTCATTTCAAGGATCTTTGATACACATTAACAAACTTGAGAAATCAGTACAACCAACCTTCGTCAAATAAAACTAAAAGACAAAAAATATAAGTTATAACAGAGTCAACATCATGATCAGTACAGTATTAAAAATATATTATTCATAAATCATGAGCACCAAATGTATCTTGCCTACGAAGCGCAAACTTTTTATCTTCAAAAACTTAAAAAAGTGTCATGGTAGTGGGTGTGAAAAACCTGAAAAAGTGTCATATCGACGGGTGTGCGCGTGGGACGAACAGTCCGATTCGGTGACGTGTAATGAGGTGAAGTGATGCTATATATTAAGATGTTCTTGCCACAACGACAAGGATTAAAACAAAATTGATGTTCTGTTTGTAAGTTTTGTTTGTTTATAAGTGCTGTTAGTTGATAATTTAAACCAAACCCCCAGACTGGCTTCTTATCAACTCGCACGTAGTGTTCTGTACGCTTACGTCATGTCGAGAATTCCCTAAAATATCTTGTTCAAAATTTATCAATAGTTCAACCACACTGTGCTTCTTTTTTGAAATATATAGTAATCGTATTGTTATTATATAAATAAACTAATTTTGGATGCTTTTAAAATAGCGATTTGAAAGATCGCGGCATTATTTACGCAGAAAATTGCCGCTAGAGGGCTCTAACTCTTTTCGATATTTCAGCCAATGAGAAGGCCAGGATCGGTAAATTCTGTCTGAAAGGCTGTCTCAATAGACTATGCGTACTGAGTACGTTTAGCCTAAAAACTTACTTATCTAGGTAAAAAAATACAATGAAAAATGAAATTGAAGGAGTTTTAATACATCGATCGACTCACCGACTGGTAATGAAGTCTTAATACAGTGACTCACCGACTGGTAATGACAACTTGTGCTCCCAGTCGAGCCAGCATTGTTGTCATCCCTTTTCCCAGACCAGTGCCTCCTCCTGTTATGAAGACCGTCTTTCCTTTAAATGAGCCTTCTGGGAGCATTGGGGTTTTAACAATTGGAAACAGCTTGGCTTGTTCTCCAACACAGCATGGAGAGGAGACAGACAGATGGCGTATACATACATTCTGTTAATTAAAATTAAAATCTTATAGGACTTTAACAATAAAAAACAATCATTAAAAATATTTTACACTGCTAGCCATCTCATATTCAGTATTCTTCCCTTTGAGACCTCGGATTGCTCTTCAGCCTACAGTATTTTGGCAGATGAACCTATACATGTAATACAAATCTGACTTGTTGACATCAATTGCCAGCTAAATCAATGATGTTATTTTGCACAAATGAAATTGGCATGAAATAAAAATTCTTTATTGCTCCAACTACCCGACATATGATGCCAACCAGTATCAATATGGAACATGTATACACATCAGCACACAGAAGATCAACATTACAATAATTGCAAAATCGATCAATTACCGTAGCATGCCAATTTTTCTTCATTTCTTGAAGCTCTTTCACCAGTAAACCAAAATTTGTTTGCGTTTTATTTTCTTGACACTTTTAAGCAGGAATGTCATTGTGGCATATAGGCTTTGCTCTCTCCTGGCACTGCCTACCTCATATCAACAATTCAACTCAATTTTCCTTTGACGTCAATAGAACCATATTATAACTGCTTTCTTACGAATTAATCTATGACTATATAATTTTTCTGTCATGTTTCTGAAGGTATGAAAATGGAAAAAATTCCAGGGAGAGTTATCTCCCTTCAGTTGAAATAACTATGCACATGTACATTTTGTAAGTCGATATTTATCATACAATGATAACCGTTAATTATAAAGCGTATATCAACCGTTCCGTACAAATGAAAATTATAAATTCATCATACAAGTAGTCTGCAAAAATTTATTTAATGTAATGACTGGACTTTGAACTGTTCGGGGGAATGAGGTATGATTGCACCAGAGACGTATATATGTCTCTGGATTGCATCATCATTTGTTGGTTAAAAAGTGTTATAAAACAGTGTTACTTTTGTATTTACATGCTATAGTGAACATCGATATGTTATATGTTTTATTACCTGTATCTTTAAAGTTTTGTTTATTTTACCGGCGAGTCTGCTGCAGAAGGCTGACATCTTGAAAGATCCCGGATGTTGTTGGGGAGGGTGTTGAAGATTGCCAATCAAGTATTAGCTTTAGCGCCTTCGACAAATGAACATATGCATTTCATACCATAGCAATATATAAATAATTTATTATGTATGTTTTTCGTCAAAAATTGGTTTGTTTCAATTGCTACTGGAATGGTTTATGACAGCACACTCAACTGAATTAACGAGTACTCCATACTTGATGCTTCCGCATTGGTTCTGATGAAGAGACACATGTTATGAAATATTGAAGAAGGAACAATATGCTTCGAAATTGTTTTTATAAGAGACAGGTGTTCATAAAACTATTAATAGTACAGCTCAACAAAAATATGTCGTAGTTACGTATTATTGTTGTGCCATCCATAGGATGATTCCTTTTACAGTAACGCAGTTCTTCTGTAAATATCGTTGTTTTCATCGCAAAAAAACTTCTTCTTCAAAACTGCAAGACCATGGATCATGACGCTTGAACTCATGATACATATCAAGAGTATTTTACGCAATTGTTAGGTCAAATAACACTCCAGTTATGATTAACTGTCAAGGTCATATGTCAAATACAATTTAACAAATACATAACACTGTATTTAAAAATCAACACTAAAAATGTTTTGTGTACATTTTCTAATAAAAAAAAGAATGAAAATAAAATAAAAATAGAACAAATAGAGGTGTTTTTCTATATTGATTGTTCAAAACACTAGCAATTATATTATTGCCCATTGTTGCAAGAATTCTAATGTGGTTTTCACATGGTAATTTTTAGTTCCTGGGATTGAGGTCATTATTGCGCCCCTACTGCGAGACCAGTGCACCGCCATCAGAAGCAGAGCAGCGGTTGATAGGCATACTGAAGGAGAAGTTTCCAACTGCTTCTCATGTGGAAGTCTCGGATATTTCTGGTAAGAATAAAGCATTACACATTGTGCATCTAGTTTGTCACTGATATCTCAGTGATAACACTTATTCTAAGATAAATCTTGGATTTCTTTGAGGACCTTACATGGAATTAACCATAGATATCTGTTGTGAGAATATAGAATTATATTAGTCAGAAATATCACTTATGATAACATATACATGTATATTCATTTAGTATCAAATTCTTTCTTGTGTCAAAAAACATACATACAGACATCTTATAACTATGTAAAGGACATTATATAAGTCATGCAGATTTCCTGTGAGAACATTACATAACTTGTAAATATTTCTAGTGTGGGCATACACCATATTAAATAGCTCATAGCTCACATAAGTTAGATATTGTATCATTGGTGTTGAAAATCAATAACTCAAATCATGTCACTGTTCAGGACAATTCTAAAGTCAGTGATATCTCTGATGAAACCTAAATAAGTCAGTGATATCTCTGATGAAACCTAAATAAGTCAGTGATATCTCTGGTGAAACCTAAATAAGTCAGTGATATCTCTGGTGAAACCTAAATAAGTCAGTGATATCTCTGATGAAACCTAAATAAGTCAGGGATATCTCTGGTGAAACCTAAATAAGTCAGTGATATCTCCGATGAAACCTAAATAAGTCAGTGATATCTCCGATGAAACCTAAATAAGTCAATGATATCTCTGATGAAACCTAAATAAACCAGGGATATCTCTGATGAAACCTGCATAAACCAGGGATATCTCTGATGAAACCTACATAAATCAGGGATATCTCTAATGAAACCTAAATAAGTCAGGGATATCTCAGATGAAACCTACATAAATTAGGGATATCTCTGATGAAACCTACATAAATCAGGGATATCTCTGATGAAACCTACATAAATCAGGGATATCTCTGATGAAACCTACATAAATCAGGGATATCTCTGATGAAACCTACATAAATCAGGGATATCTCTGATGAAACCTACATAAATCAGGGATATCTCTGATGAAACCTACATAAAATAGGGATATCTCTGATGAAACCTACATAAATCAGGGATATCTCTGATGAAACCTACATAAAACAAGGATATCTCTGATGAAACCTACATAAATCAGGGATATCTCTGTTGAGAACAGTACATATGCCCTGGATATCTCTGTTGAAATCTTGTATAAGATCATAAATTGTGGATAGTGTAACTCTCAGATGAGAAAACTACATTAGCAAAGATAGATATCTGATGATGACTTTACATAAGCCATGGATATCTCTGGTGAGGACGTCAGTCATCGACTTCTCTTATGATAACATAGTACATTAGTCACAGAGGCCCTTGGTGAAGATATTACACACAACTCACTGATATCTCTGGTGAGGACGTTAGTCATCAACTTCTCTGATGATAAGATATTACACACAACTCACTGTTGTCTTTGGTGAGGATATGTTATGGATAACTGTGGTGAGAACATTTTTGAATGATTATCTGAAAAAACTGGACTGAATTTGTTTCTGTTCGCATTTTATTGGGTTTATATATTCATCATGTTTTGAATGTAAAAAGATCTCTGATGAATTTTGTAAGCAAAAAAATGCTGCAATAAGACTTTTAACATTTTTTATCTTTAAGGAATGATTTGTACAAATAAACTCTGTTGTACACCTTTTGTAATGGAATTATTTAGAATTTTTGATTTTTGCATAGAATAACTCATTGTGGAAACTTGTTTTTTAACATAGGAGGCTGCGGAGCTATGTATGAGATCCTGATTGAGGCAGATTCATTCCAAGGAAAGCGAAAAGTAGCACAACATAAAATGGTTACTGAGGTGAGTAAAATCCAACTTTCATATACAGTAGTGTAATTTTTATTGTATCAGTGCACTAACTATATACTTCAGATAAATCACTTAGTAGCAGTGAACAATGAATATAAGATTTAGCATTATATGTTTTGAGATTTTATCTGTTCATTATAGTCTGTTGTTTGTTATTTCAGGCACTAAAAGAACAGATAAAGGATATGCATGGTTTACGCATCACAACAAAAGTTCCTGATGTTTCATAGCAGTTACGGAGAGTTTTATTTTAACAGCTATTATCAATACAGTGTGTGATGGGGAGCAAGGTGACATGTCTCACTCCCGACAATTCAAGGATATAACAACCCTTTTTTATCTCGGTGTAGAAAGATCTCCATAAGGAAAAAAAACTGCTGTCTATCATTAAGCCTCAGGAATGCTTTGTCTAATCGTGTGAAAATCTGTCGGATATTTAATCTTTAGAATAACAAAAATATGATACATGTATCTAGGACTTTGTCTGGAGAGAAATATTGGCCTTGTTTTAATTTATTGTATAGCTGATACAGTTAGTAAAAATCAGAGATAGATCCACATTTGTGTATATTGAGATAGATATATAAATTCCTGATCTCTGATGGGAATATCATTATTTTATTCCCAAATGTTGTTCATCTAGAAATGGTTTAAATTTTTTTGGATTAAAGATTAGATCCGTGATTTTTAACAAATGAATTGTGTTGTTGCTAATATGGAAGCAATTTCTTTTATGAGAAACAATAATAAAACTAAATGTGGAAACTTTATTATTGTATGTCTGTTACCCAGACCTAAGTTGTATGTGTGTAAATTCCACAGTACAAATTTATATATTGATATAACTTTATATATGATGATGGTTATACAGTAAAAGTATCTATCTGTGACCTCTACCTTACAAATAATGTGGGTGTTACAGTACCAGTAGATATATGTGACCTTGACCTTATATACAAAGTAGGTCATTCAGGAGCATTACACATCTGTGCCTTACATATAAAATGGGGAATAAATTCAATTTTACCAAGACCTTTGACCTTGCCTTTATAAACGGTATGCAGTAACATCATATCTTTTTGACCCTGACCTTATGCACAAGGTGGATACTACAAGTATCAGTGACCTTCAGCTTACATTAATGTGTAGTACAGTAAAAATGTTTATTTGTGACCTTACCTTACATAGCATGTAACAGACAGATAAATTCAGAACACAGGGATTCAAATGATGCACTTAATTGGAAAGAAATATCTTGGTGTGCAAGTTGTTATTGGGTGCGGTAACAGGTTGCTAGGTTTCATGAAAACAACAGAGTGCAGAAGCAGTTCACAGGCTATAATAACTGTTTGTTAACTCGGGTTGTACATTTGATATTCTTACTAAAACAGCGTGCACGGTTAGATGTTTGTTAACACAGCTTTCACGGATAATTGTTTATAAACACAGCTTGCACGGTTAAATGTTTGTAAACACAGCTTGCACAGTTAAATGTTTGTTACCACAGCTTTCACGGATAATTGTTTGTAAACACAGCTTGCACAGTTAAATGTTTGTAAACACAGCTTGCACAGTTAAATGTTTGTAAACACAGCTTTCACGGATAATTGTTTGTAAACACAGCTTGCACGGTTAAATGTTTGTAAACACAGCTTGCACGGTTAAATGTTTGTGAACACAGCTTGCACAGTTAAATGTTTGTCAACACAGCTTGCACAGTTAAATGTTTGTTAACACAGCTTTCACGGATAATTGTTTGTAAACACAGCTTGCACAGTTAAATGTTTGTGAACACAGCTTGCACAGTTAAATGTTTGTCAACACAGCTTGCACAGTTAAATGTTTGTTAACACAGCTTTCACGGATAATTGTTTGTAAACACAGCTTGCACGGTTAAATGTTTGTAAACACAGCTTGCACAGTTAAATGTTTGTTAACACAGCTTTCATGGATAATTGTTTGTAAACACAGCTTGCACAGTTAAATGTTTGTCAACACAGCTTTCACGGATAATTGTTTGTAAACACAGCTTGCGCAGTTAAATGTTTGTAAACACAGCTTGCACAGTTAAATGTTTGTTAACACAGCTTTCACGGATAATTGTTTGTAAACACAGCTTGCACAGTTAAATGTTTGTTACCACAGCTTTCACGGATAATTGTTTGTCAACACAGCTTGCACAGTTAAATGTTTGTCAACACAGCTTTCACGGATAATTGTTTGTAAACACAGCTTGCACAGTTAAATGTTTGTAAACACAGCTTGCACAGTTAAATGTTTGTTACCACAGCTTTCACGGATAATTGTTTGTCAACACAGCCTGCACAGTTAATTGTTTGTAAACACAGCTTGCACAGTTAAATGTTTGTCAACACAGCTTGCCCATTTAAATGTTTGTTAACACAGCTTTCACGGATAATTGTTTGTAAACACAGCTTGCACAGTTAAATGTTTGTTACCACAGCTTTCACGGATAATTGTTTGTCAACACAGCTTGCACAGTTAAATGTTTGTTACCACAGCTTTCACGGATAATTGTTTGTCAACACAGCCTGCACAGTTAATTGTTTGTAAACACAGCTTGCACAGTTAAATGTTTGTCAACACAGCTTGCCCAGTTAAATGTTTGTTAACACAGCTTTCACGGATAATTGTTTGTAAACACAGCTTGCACAGTTAAATGTTTGTTACCACAGCTTTCACGGATAATTGTTTGTCAACACAGCTTGCACAGTTAAATGTTTGTTACCACAGCTTGCACAGTTAATTGTTTGTCAACACAGCTTGCACAGTTAAATGTTTGTTACCACAGCTTGCACAGTTAAATGTTTGTCAACACAGCTTGCACAGTTAAATGTTTGTCAACACAGCTTGCACAGTTAAATGTTTGTTAACACAGCTTTCACGGATAATTGTTTGTAAACACAGCTTGCACAGTTAAATGTTTGTAAACACAGCTTGCACTGTTAAACGTTTGTTAACACAGCTTTCACGGATAATTGTTTGTAAACACAGCTTGCACAGTTAAATGTTTGTAAACACAGCTTGCACTGTTAAACGTTTGTTAACACAGCTTTCACGGATAATTGTTTGTAAACACAGCTTGCACAGTTAAATGTTTGTTACCACAGCTTGCACTGTTAAACGTTTGTTACCACAGCTTTCACGGATAATTGTTTGTAAACACAGCTTGCACGGTTAAATGTTTGTAAACACAGCTTGCACTGTTAAACGTTTGTTAACACAGCTTTCACGGATAATTGTTTGTCAACACAGCTTGCACAATTAAATGTTTGTAAACACAGCTTGCACTGTTAAATGTTTGTGAATACAGCTTGCACAGTTAAATGTTTGTGAACACAGCTTGCACAGTTAAATGTTTGTTACCACAGCTTGCACGGTTAAATGTTTGTGAACACAGCTTGCACAGTTAAATGTTTGTTACCACAGCTTGCACGGTTAAATGTTTGTGAACACAGCTTGCACAGTTAAATGTTTGTTACCACAGCTTGCACGGTTAAATGTTTGTGAACACAGCTTGCACAGTTAAATGTTTGTTAACACAGCTTTCACGGATAATTGTTTGTCAACACAGCTTGCACAGTTAAATGTTTGTTACCACAGCTTTCACAGGTAATTGTTTGTAAACACAACTTGCACAGTTAAATGTTTGTAAACACAGCTTTCACAGGTAATTGTTTGTAAACACAGCTTGCACAGTTAAATGTTTGTAAACACAGCTTGCACTGTTAAATGTTTGTTACCACAGCTTTCACGGATAATTGTTTGTAAACACAGCTTGCACAGTTAAATGTTTGTTACCACAGCTTTCACGGATAATTGTTTGTCAACACAGCTTGCACAGTTAAATGTTTGTAAACACAGCTTGCACAGTTAAATGTTTGTTACCACAGCTTGCACGGTTAAATGTTTGTGAACACAGCTTGCACAGTTAAATGTTTGTTACCACAGCTTGCACGGTTAAATGTTTGTGAACACAGCTTGCACAGTTAAATGTTTGTTACCACAGCTTGCACAGTTAAATGTTTGTTACCACAGCTTGCACGGTTAAATGTTTGTGAACACAGCTTGCACAGTTAAATGTTTGTTACCACAGCTTGCACGGTTAAATGTTTGTGAACACAGCTTGCACAGTTAAATGTTTGTTACCACAGCTTGCACAGTTAAATGTTTGTTACCACAGCTTGCACGGTTAAATGTTTGTGAACACAGCTTGCACAGTTAAATGTTTGTTACCACAGCTTGCACGGATAATTGTTTGTCAACACAGCTTGCACAGTTAAATGTTTGTAAACACAGCTTGCACAGTTAAATGTTTGTTACCACAGCTTGCACGGTTAAATGTTTGTGAACACAGCTTGCACAGTTAAATGTTTGTTACCACAGCTTGCACGGTTAAATGTTTGTGAACACAGCTTGCACAGTTAAATGTTTGTTACCACAGCTTGCACGGTTAAATGTTTGTGAACACAGCTTGCACAGTTAAATGTTTGTTACCACAGCTTGCACGGTTAAATGTTTGTGAACACAGCTTGCACAGTTAAATGTTTGTTACCACAGCTTGCACGGTTAAATGTTTGTGAACACAGCTTGCACAGTTAAATGTTTGTTACCACAGCTTGCACGGTTAAATGTTTGTGAACACAGCTTGCACAGTTAAATGTTTGTTAACACAGCTTTCACGGATAATTGTTTGTCAACACAGCTTGCACAGTTAAATGTTTGTTACCACAGCTTTCACAGGTAATTGTTTGTAAACACAACTTGCACAGTTAAATGTTTGTAAACACAGCTTGCACTGTTAAATGTTTGTTACCACAGCTTTCACAGGTAATTGTTTGTAAACACAGCTTGCACAGTTAAATGTTTGTTAACACAGCTTTCACGGATAATTGTTTGTCAACACAGCTTGCACAGTTAAATGTTTGTTACCACAGCTTTCACGGTTAAATGTTTGTAAACACAGCTTGCACAGTTAAATGTTTGTTACCACAGCTTGCACAGTTAAATGTTTTTTACCACAGCTTTCACGGATAATTGTTTGTCAACACAGCTTGCACAGTTAAATGTTTGTAAACACAGCTTGCACTGTTAAATGTTTGTTACCACAGCTTTCACAGGTAATTGTTTGTAAACACAGCTTGCACAGTTAAATGTTTGTTAACACAGCTTTCACGGATAATTGTTTGTCAACACAGCTTGCACAGTTAAATGTTTGTTACCACAGCTTGCACAGTTAAATGTTTGTAAACACAGCTTGCACTGTTAAATGTTTGTTACCACAGCTTTCACAGGTAATTGTTTGTAAACACAGCTTGCACAGTTAAATGTTTGTAAACACAGCTTGCACAGTTAAATGTTTGTTAACACAGCTTTCACAGGTAATTGTTTGTAAACACAGCTTGCACAGTTAAATGTTTGTTAACACAGCTTTCATGGATAATTGTTTGTCAACACAGCTTGCACAGTTAAATGTTTTGTAAACACAGCTTTCACGGATAATTGTTTGTAAACACAGCTTGCACAGTTAAATGTTTGTTACCACAGCTTTCACGGTTAAATGTTTGTAAACACAGCTTGCACAGTTAAATGTTTGTTACCACAGCTTGCACAGTTAAATGTTTTTTACCACAGCTTTCACGGATAATTGTTTGTCAACACAGCTTGCACAGTT